CAAAGAACAAAGCACCTTCCCAGTGAGGCACAGAGGGACCCAGGCCCAGCACCAGCAAAGCACCCAGAAAATACTCCTTCCTAGGAGACAGAGAAGTGTGGGAATGGCAGAAGGGACCCACTGGCAGGCAGGGCAGCCAAAAATAACATCAGCAGTCACCACAGACCACTCAGGCTGCCGGGTGCTGTTAGTACCCAGGATTCAGACAAGAGGCAACGCCAGGAAGCCTGGCCTGGGCCCTGGCCCGGGGTAGGGAGAGCCAGGCAGCCCTGTCAAATGCAGCCTCCACGTCCCACACGCTGCTTCATCTTGCAGAGAGAAAGCAGCTGTGGCTCTCTCTGTTTTGTAGTTCAGGGAAGTGAAACGAGAACACCAGGATCAGAACCAAGCATCCACACTCATCCTCCCGTGTCCTCCTGGTGAGAACGTTGAGAACACAGCCTTGGACTCGCTGTGCACCGGGGGCCGAGGACCTGGGCATCTTGTCCAGGACAGCGTGTGTGAGAGCTGGCACCCAGTGTGCGACATACCCCATGGGGGCTTAGGGGCCCACAGCTGGCAGGTGTCCATCAGCCCCCACGCAGGTGGGCAGAGGAGGGGCACACCCGGGCGGAGGACCTCCCTCCTGTCTTTCCCTGGGACGCCCTGTCCTCACTAATTCTTCCACTTGCCAGAGTGGCCCGAGGAAGAACATCAGCTGTCTCACACTCTTAAGGATGTAGTTTTCTTTTTTTAGGGAAAATTGTGCTACAGAAAGACTTGCACAAACTAGACCACAAGCAAAGGCAGGGCTCTGAAGGGGAGAGCCACGCCCCACCACTCCCGTCCCCCAGTCTGTGACGGCACACCTGTGACAGAGAAGGCGGGCACCACCCTGGCAGCCGACCCCAGGCCTGTTCCTTGGAGGTCAGTGGGGAGAGGGAAGACTGGAGGCTGTTGAGGACTGGGGTGCGACACACTCACTGTGTTGTCAGGGCCCGTCTCACCAGGCCACCAGCACCTGCCCCACTCCTGAGAGCGCTCAGTCTTCTGGGAAGCAGCTCGCCGACCTTAGGGTGCGTGATGGGTCTCACAGGCATGAGGGCTGAGCCAGGAACGGGGACACGAAGGGGCACAGCACCCTCTCATCCACCCTCACACACAGACACACACCACCCACCGCACACACTCACAAGTTCACGCATGCACCTCCACTAGCACACTCACACTCCAGTTCACTCACACAGTCACACACGTACACACTCACACACTTAACGTCATGCTCACGAGCCCTCCAGCCTTCACTCACACACACTGGCACACATTTCTATACAAACACGGCATATGATCACACACTTTCATTCAGTCACACACTCTTACACACAGACACACAGTCTCCCACACTCAGACTCACACAAACACGCACAACCTTCTAGACACTCGAACAGTAGGACACACAGTTTCGCTCAAGCCCGTGCACACGCTCCCATACACCACTCATACACACTCACACATCCTCACAATCTGACACACACGCACACCCTCAAGCGCCCAGCAACCGCATCCTCTGATCCCCAACGCCCCACCTCAGACTTCTTGTATAAAAAGGGGAGTTGCCGTGTGGCCTCACAGTGCGTAGGGAGGTGAGAAGGCAGCTGGGCCAGGGCTTCCTTCTCGGCGTGCCCTCGGGTACCCGCACTGCCCGCCCAGGGCAGGCTGATGTGCCCGGAGGACCTTGTGTCAAGGTGCTGCTCTCCCCGCCTTTTCCCCTGTGACTCAGTCTTATTCCCCCAGGGCTGCTGCCACAGACTTCACAAACCTACTCTCTCACAGGGTGGAGGTCAGAACGCACGTCCTAGGGAGCTACTGGTGTCGGTGTGAGAGATCCTTCCACAGACTCCAGGAGAGAAGCCACACCCTCGCCTTCCCCGCCTTGCTACGGCCACCTGCATTTCACACCCAGAACTGTTCTTTTCCATCTTCAAAGCCATGGAAGGTGGGTCTGCTCCTCACACCAGACCTCCGGAGCACTATTCATGGTCACATCACCCTCTGCTCACGGCTGGGAAAGGTTCTCCACTTTGACTTAAGAATCCCCTGGGCCCGCCCAGGTCATCTGCATGTGTCAAGGTCCTTGACACATCAAGGTCCTTAATCATCTGTGCAGCTTCTTGGTCACATCTGCAGAAGATGTGGCAATTATGATGTGGGAATCTTGGGGGCTGTGTTAGGCAACCCACTGTACCTGTGTAGAGTTAAGCAACCCAGCACACGCTAGCACAAAGCAGGGGCACCTAGCAGACATGTGCTCACCCTTGTGCTGCTGCCCAGCTCTGTGAGAAGCATTGCAGCCTGGGGGGAAGCATGAGCTCCAGGGGCAACCACCGAGGCTCAGGCCCCAGCTCTGGGGTGTGGGGAAGTATTTGACTCTGCTGCAGGGTCCGCATCTATGCGGAGCGCACAGGAAGGCCTGCCTCCTGGGGCTACTAACATACAGAATGCCCAGAAAGAGGTTTGCCCCTCCACTAGGTGTCATCATTGTCATCGTTCCTTTGAAGGTGCAGCCCTGAGGTCTCCTTGTGGGTGTCCTTCAGTTCTACACTGGCTTCCTTTGTCCACCCACCTCTTATTTGATCAAAGGCTGGACCTAGCTCACTGCTTGCATTGTTCACAAATAGCTAAGGACTGCCAGCCCTGGAAAGATTTCACTTCCAAGACCACTGTGCAGGACACTTGCCATTTTTCTAAGGAAGTATGTGGCTGCCTAGAAATCTTGAAATACTGGATTGTGAACTTGCCAGATAAAACAAGGGCCGTATCATCCAGTGGCCAGAAAGCCTGTGTCCTGGCTCACTCCTTGGACTGCAAACAGTGTCTTTATAATTCAGTATATTTGTCTGTTAAGGAAAGGGGTAAGTTACATGAGCCCCACTTGCTGCAGCTCTAAATTCCTTTGCAAAGAAGAAAAGCAAATGTCTCTCTGAAGGTAACAGAAAGATTTTTGGATGCTATCATAGTAGCCATTCCATGAATCACTTGTAAGAAGCGGCTTACAGACAAAGGGAAATGAATTGGGGTGCAGAGCCATTGGCCCCAGCCATAACTTAAATTTTAGCCTTGCAAACTATACTAAGAACAAAAATCAGGAAAACCTAACTTGGAGATTTCCGGTGGAAAACCCCACTGTGACACACGCACTGCACTCTGACATGCGGCCGGCTTCCCTCTCCCCAAGCGTGCTTCCAATTTTCATAAATTAAAGTGGAGATCCCCTGGAAGACTAAAGATTTTCTCCGTCTCTCTTGCTTTTAATTTCACAGTGTTAAACCAAACACTATGTGAACTCAGAAATTAAACATGGAAGGACCCAGAGCAATGAAACATGATCCTACATAAATGCTTCTTCACATTGCTTGATTAGATAAGGAGGTGGAAGGGGGAAAGAGCCTTTGTATTACTAGCCAGAAGGAGCCCAAGAGTAATGGAACCCTTCTTAACACATAATTCCGGGGGCCGGCTGCCGGGCACGTGGGAGAAGAGTGTTATCCCCTTTATGCTGTGCTTTATTTCTCATTAAGACTGTGTAGAAGTGTTTTAATATGACTGTACACTAAGAGAGTCTAGAAGGCTTCACGGTGATAATGGAATTTTCAGAATGCTGCCCTGGGAAATGTGAAGCTCTGTTATCGATGCAAGGAGCAAGAGTCAGAGGACTGCTCCAATTTTATCCTTTGGGCCTTCCAATAAAAGCTGTTTCACAAGGATGAGAAATATGACCCCAGGAAAGTACCACTCAGGATTATCTATGGGACCAGAAGTAGAAACAACCTAAGGAATTTTCTGAAATGATTTCATCTCACCCAGTGGGATGGCCTAAGGGAAACTTAGCTTAGCCTTTGAGCTGCTCAGTCACACACAACCAATGGGGCACAAAGCAAGGAAGTCCTGTGTCCAGACCCTCCCTGCCCGAGAGCCAGGTTATACCAACCCCAGAAGACCCCTACCTGGGAGTACCTTATTTAATTAATATTTATGAAATGCCTGCTCTTGCCAGGTACTGTTCAGGGCACTGAGCAATCTGCACAAGTGAGACAGAATTTACAACAGAGCAGGTGAGGCCTGGTTAAGACAGAGGTCACAGGAGGAGGCAGGGGTGGTACCTGTCTGGGAGCCACTGGTAACACAGGTAAGGCGTGTGGGGAGATATGTCTGCAGGTCACCCTAAGACTGGTTCCACTGAGTAGAGTAAGGTAGAGACAGCCTGAGAGTGCCTGCCTGCAGAATTTCAAGACCTCTTCTTTTAAAGAAGTATCTCCGCCCTGAGACTTAGGAGAACCTCCAAGTCCTCACCCAAGGTAACGTCTTCCCCCAAGTAGAAGAACTAGAAAGGCTGACATGTTGACTCCACTTCCAGAAAGCCCACAGGGCTGGTGGCATCTCCAGCTCTACCATAAAGTGGACCCGCCCCAGCCCCTAAGGGACCCTGGAGGCACAGGAGTTACTGAAACACAGGCAGGACATCTATTCCCCTAACATCTCTGCAGTCATCTCCGCCTCCTACACCAAGACACAGACTCAAGCAGGGGCATTGTTGGGGTTTCAAAACTGTGGCTTGTGAATATATAGAATTTGTATTTGCAAGTTACACTAGTGTTATAAAACAGGGAAACTCATTATTTTAACACCCATGGACTATTCACCAAGACAAAACCATTAAGATTAATAAATTCAAAGAAGTGAATATAGAGTAAATTCCCTGCCCATAAGTGAATCAAACCATAATTCTATAACAGGAAGATGGAGAAAATTGTTAACATTTGGAAGTCAAATTAACACATGTCTAAATATTGTCTGAGTCAAACAGGAAGTCTCAAGGGAAATTTTTAAAACAGAAGACTAAGTATAACTAAAATAAAACAGATCAAAATCTGTAGGATGCGGCTAAAGCAATGCTGACAAAGACGAGTTAAACATCTTGACTGTAGGAATTGATGGACGGGCGAGAGAGACCTAACAGTTACCTCAAATATAATCAGCGTGTAGACCCCCGCAAGGATGGCTGCTGCGATGACCACCTGTGCTTCAATGCTGATGCGGAGGTACTGATGGGACAGCAGGAGAGGAACGACCTGGGTCTGTTGAAAGGAGGGCCAGATGCTAATGGAGACATTTTCTCTGCAAAATGAAGCAAGACCTTACAGTTGGCCAGGGAAACAAATCCTGGGTCAACCATTAGAGTCTTTCCCCTCGTGTCCCTCCTAGCCCACATCAGTCACAGCTCCTCCCAGAACCCAAAGGGACCTTGGGATGTTCAGCCCAACACGGGTCAATGTTCTGTGACATGGGTACAGCCTTTCTGGGCCAACAAGGCTACCAGTGGAGGCTTCTCAGACCCCATCCACAGCGTCAGCCTCCCTGCAGGCACCGCTCCAATAAATAACAAGAAGCAACAACCAACACAGCTGATCTTAGCCGCTGATTTCCTCTCTTCCACCTCACCAACATACCTGACTGCTTTCCCCGCTAACATATGGCAAAGCCAACTATTTTAAGCTTCAGTCACTCATCATGGAAGGAAAAGCACCGGAAACAAGAGGTCTGTAAATATTCAAAAGTTTATGGCATGGTAAATCTGTTGCACTTCTCTAAAGATCAGTCAATAATTTGTGAGCCAACTTGTGACTCCGCAAAACTCCTACTTCTGAGTTCTCTCCTCCAGTACCTCGGAATGTGACTGAATTTATAGGTAGAGCCTTTAAAGAGGTAATAAAGGTTAAATGAGGTTATTAGGGTAGATCCTAACCCAAAAAGATAGTGTCCATATAAGAAGAGTTAAGACACAGACACAGACACACATACACACACACACACACACACACACACACACACACACACACACACACAGAGAGAGGGAAGACGTTGCCAAAAGAAGTCTCAAGGAGAAACTGGCCCTTTGACACCTTGATCTTGGACTCTGAGCCTGTAGAACTTGGGAACATAAATGCCTGATGCTTCCTTCCCCAGTGTGTGCACACTTTGTTCTGGCAGACCTGGCCGACTCACAGTGACCAAGTGCATAGACGGAATAGGAGTCACATTACTTAAAAAGCAAAAGAACCCCAAGGTTCCCTATAATTCTCCACTGTATGTCATCACAGTGTTAATGAAATTAGAACATTAACTAAAGAACACATTTTGCTTCCAGCCAGATCCCGACGCCAATCCTCCATGTCCTGACCAAGAGAGTTATGGTGGCTCTCACAGTGTTTGTGCTCATTGTCTACACTGCCTGAGCACCTTCTCTAAGCTACATGGTTCAGCTGGGTCCACTTGTGCCACAGCTCGGTGTCCTAAACGTCAGGGGTTTTTAGGTGAATGCTATGACTTGACTGTGTCCCCTAGAAAGCCTGTTATCTCCTGAATGGCTATGTTGATGGCACTTGGAGGAGGATCCTTTGGAAGCATTTAGATTAGCTGAGGTGTGAGGGTGGGGCCTCCGCCATGGAAGCGACGGGAGCCGCTGTGCGTGCTCTGTCTGTGCAGTGCCCTCTGCTGTTCCTGATGTACACGAAGCCTCACCGGATGCTGAGCAGATGTTGCACCATGCTCTTGGGCTTCCCAGCCTCCAGAACAGGAGAAGGAGAAGTCAAATAAACTTCTATTCTCTGTGAATGAACTAGTCCTGGATGTCCCATTACACCCACAGAAAACAGACTGATACAATAAGCTTGTCCCAGACAACACACCCCAAGACCTCATTCCCCGGAGAACACACCTGCTCAGTATTGTGAAGGTCCTGCTCACCACCAAGTGCTCACTTCTTCTTGGATTTAAAAGCACTGTCCAGTTGTGGGTGACCTGTAACAACCAAAGCATGAGATTGTGGTAAGGCCTTCCACCTGAAGCATCATCTGGAATCTGGCACCATTCCATTCAGGTATTTGTTACTAATAAGAGAAAGAGAACAGCAACAAAACATTTTTATATGAGCTTTGTCCAGGTTGTGTGATTCTGAGAATTTCCACAATTCAGAGGATATTAAGAAAAAAGAAGAGGAAAATGTGAATACAGAATAGTACACAAAGGTATGAAAAGTACAAAAGTAAATGTAACAGTCCCTCAGTTGCTACCAGGTACTGTTTCTTGGACCCTGAAAAGTATCAAAATCACTAGATTCTCAAGTCCCAGTGGGCACAATGTTTGATTATTGCCTGCACACATGTGTCCTTCTACCCTAAATCATCTCTGCGCTATGTATGATATCTAATACATGTGAATGCCATGTAAAATACTTATTACAGTAAATTGTTTAGGGAAAATCACAATGAAAAAGGTTTGTACATGTCCAGTACACACAAAAATATTTTCCACGTTTTAATCTGCACTTGGTTGAATCATTGGATGAGAAACCTCTATGTAGTGAGGGCCAAATGTGCAAACTTGTTCTGAGTGAAAGAAATCACCAAAGTTATTGGAGACTTGAAGCCCCCCTCATCCTGAGGTAACTTACAAGAATTGCTTCTTTGGAACTCTTTCCTGCTCACAGCCTGGAAGCAACAAACGTGTCCCAAAAAAAAAAAACGCTTGGCAACCCCATGTTCCAGGACCCCCTGCAAGGTGGAGCTTCCTCTGCTTCTAGCAAACCCATCCTAAGCCTTCTTGGCCCCAGGGGACCAAGGATAAGAGGGACAGATTCAGAGCAGAGGGCAGCTGCTCAATGGGAAAAAGGACTTCTAGTGGGTGGACTGGAGTCTCACCCCCAAATCACCAAGGAAATTGAAGACAGGAACTTTGTAATCAGTCAAAGCACAAAAGCTCATGCATGAAAGAAGAGAAATTCTCACAACATAGGTCTTTGGAAAGAGCATATTTAGAAAAAATGCTTTAGTAAAGTTCTTGTGTTCTTTGGGTTTCTGGGACTGAATTTGTACATGGGCATTTGGAGAGTGTCAGCATGTCATGAAGGGCCTTTCTGTGAAAGCAGGAAGCTCAGCACAGCTCACCTGATTTGAGAGGTAAATATGCATGTGCTGAAAAGGCAGCTGGGTAGCAGGAGCTGCATCTAGTGTTCTATAGTACAGTAGGGTAA